TCATATTTTGTGGAGGTACTTAACCGGGTACAAGGTATCCCCCTATATAGTAATCTGCCGCGCTTTAGTAAATCCCGAAATCCCCTCTTGGGCTCCCCTACCATAAGAGATTTATGGATACAACTATTTATTCTCGATGAGTACTGGAACAAACTTGTGTCTGAAGTGGCTACGTTGAGTCCGATTGGGGTCGACTAAATCTAGTCCAATTTTTTAGTTTTCACGTTTACCGCAAAAAAACCCTTTGTTTCTACTCCTCTTTTCCAAGACACTCTTAAAGCCATAGCCAGTATCGGAGTACTGGCTGATTGGCTGATTGGCCGCTTGGTGTGCTCAGCAAGACAAGACGGTACTTCCGAACCAATTTGTCAGGGTCCTTCAAGAAAAGAGCGTACCAATTCTTCTCTGGCATTGAGAGGGTGGCGGTGTCACTTAATATCAGGTGAGCCTCCTGTCCATTTATCCTCTGTTCTATAAAAGCAAAAAACAAAAATTGGCTACCTATTGGATACAAAAGAAAAACGTTGATATGGTGATAATGAGTGCGAACATATTATCTACGTTTTGGCTTGAACGGTTACGCGTCGGTGTGATGAGCTGCCAGCCGTGTTTTGTAGTTCTCCCTACACGGGGCATTTGAAATATGAACGGGTGCGTACTGGGAGGGGCGTTGTGTAAATATTGGCAGATGTGAGTGGATGCAGCGCGGCGCCACCCCGCGTGACGTCACCGCAACCCGCGCTGATTTGATGTTCGATGTTTGAATCGTGTTACGTGTACGAAGACTCGTAGTATATTTAGGCTGTATTGTTATGTATATCAAATATTTCTGCGTCTGTTTTATTGATATTTCATTACGGTAAGCAAAACTTTCGCTGACAATCGCTCTTCGGGTTAAACCACAAAGCCAAAGCACTATGCGCGAAGACATTAGACGGAGTACATTATATAAATGGCGGCCTTTATTGGCTGTGCGTAGCTAACGCTGCGCACTAGCTGCCCCCGCGAACTTCGTTTCGCCTTAATATGATTTTGTTAGTTAGCCTACCTTTTTAATAGCTACATACCAACGTATGCAACATTTTGCTTTGCCACCCCACAAAGACGGTGCGCTTTTTAACAAAAACCTAAGTACTAGGATATTAAATGTTTCTCTCCAAAAAAATCGTTCTCAGAATTCAAGAAAAAATTCTCGGATTGGTCCAGTCGTCTTCCAGATTTGCGCTTAGCTACATATTTTGTGATTCATTTTTATTCTGAGGCCTAGACCTACAATGGTTGTAGCCACAGATTTTGTTTGTATAACACAATTATTTGGTTGTAACTTGGGAATACCGCCTCAAAAGTCATTTTTTTTTCATCATAAAAGATTTCTCTTTCGTTTTCTTTCAATCCCTCACGATAGTTTGCATATATTATATATAGGTACAAAGAGATAATCTTATACACAATAGAACCTACTTAATTACTTAAAAACATTTCAATAATAAAGTCTGATAATATCAGTTATATAGGATGGTCGTCGTTCAAAGGTTGCTAAGCTGAACATTTTCTCATGTACGCATGTACGCTGCGTGGGCGCAGCGTATACGTAAATCATTAGCGAGTGTAGCGCAACGGGCGTAATAGGTTAATTGACGTGCAAAAACGCGTAGGTAACGCGAAGCACTCGCTAAGTGAACGTCGAGTTAACAGTTGCTAAGTTCATTTCAAAATAAAGGGATAATGTTTAATATGTTTTGGGATTTGAAAACCATGTATTTAAACCCGCCAAAACGCTCTACGCAAGATGGCGTCGCGGTAGTTAACACGTAAACAAACTTCATGGTGTTGTTATAATTATTATTCTTATATACATTTATTATATTTAAAATTCTAAAGTATTAGGATTAAATACTAATCTGTGACCGTTTTGTGTCATGTGATTTTTTTATAAATTAACTAGTTGAACCAGGGATACGATCACATCACTTACATATATTTGTGTTAAAAGAAAAAGTAATTTTATTAAAACAGACCAAAGAGATCGGACCTCATACTACAGCTATGAAACAATCAAATTTCTACCTATTTCGAAAAAGACAAAAGACATCAAAAGTTCCTCAGCTGGGAACAGTTTTTACCAATTGGAAAATTAATAATTATTTAGTATTTTCCTTTACTTATTAATTATGTTTCCCATTTAAACCTTCCCTGAACTTCCAAAAATATTTTCAGATCATAATTAGCCTAATCGCTCCAGCCATTCTCGAGTTTTACCGAAGTAAACGAACAGCAAAACATTTTTATATAAATTGATGATTATTTACAAGTTTTATTCTATAACGCTTTTTAGTCATATTTTATATACTTCACTTAATGTGCTATGTGCCCCAGGTGGGGCAGAAGACATTCAGCGTAGAAAACCCGCCTGTTCGGTCCTGGGAAGCTATATTTTACTCTTTATTTTTCATTAGTCTATGGAACTATGCTTCAGACTTCGGCATTTATGGCATTCTATTCTTTGAAAGTTCTTTAAACGCAAGTAGAACCATTTCAGAATATCTTAGAGTGAGTGCGCGAGCTGTTTTGTATGTCAAAATCTAATGCGTTAGTCATATAGTCTCGACTCTTTCCTTTAGAATAATTTTTAATAATATTTTTTTAGAGCAGTGTTGGCCTAACGGCTTTAGTGCGACTCTCATCCCTGAGGTCGTAGGTTCGATCCTCGGCTGTACACCAATGGACTTTCTATGTGCGCATTTAACATTCGGTCGAACGCTGAAGAAAACATCGTGAGGATTGGCTTGCCTTAGACACAAAAAGTCGGCTAATCACCTACTTGGCTATAAGACAAATGATCATGAAACAGATTCAGAAATCTGAAGCCCAGACCTAAAAAGGTTGTAGCGCCACTGATTTATTTTAATGTTTCTATGTAATACTGCGAGCATAATTCAATGTACACAGTGACAGGAATGTAATTAGTTGACTTAACTTTCGCGGCTCGTAATTAATAGTCTGAGCTTTCATAGAGAAAGACATTTTCTCTAACGTACGTGACTTGTTTTAAGCGATGTTGATATCACAATTGTATTTGCTACGGCGCACGACAACCCTGATGTAGATATGTGGTAGATATGACCCTCAACTCCTATGGATTAACCAATGAGCTCGGCTAACACCTGATCGTCAAATCCGCGACATCCAGTCTTTCAAAGTGAAATGTAAAAGTTATCTTTTGGAATGTCAGTTTTATGTTGTTGGTTTGAGTTTGTAATTTCAGTTTTTAGTCTGGTTTTAAATAGTTTTTATTTTAATTGTTTAAATTGTTGTTTTGGTCTGTGTATATGTCACTTCGCGATAATATGAGTCCACTGAAAATCAGTGTTGCTAGTGACAGATACTTAAAGATGAGTTGGGCCCATTTTTGATTAATGTGATTGTGTTTGTATTTCTTTTCTATGTGTGTAATGTGTATGCTTTAATAAAATAAACGTTTTTTCTGTCTTGTTTCGTACTGTGAAAGAAGAGATTTTGAGTTTAGAAATAATGGACAAGGAAATACTTACAGAACATATCTGTTTGACCTTTGACACGAAATGAACTCACTATTACCTGTAGTAAATAAATTTAATCCCCTGATAAGAGGACACTATAAGTAATTTTCTGTAAAATAGTTTCAACTTCACGGCAAAAGATGGCGTTAATATTCCGAAAGACTAACAAATACATGTCAACTATAGCAGTCTCGCTGCAATTGCAAGGCATCAGAAATTTCCAAAATTCGGGGTAAATGTAATAATCGCGTTTAATATAAGTTTATTTAAGTAGTCAAATCATTTATCTCAATCGGGCCTATTAAAAAGGCACGTTTGAAAGTCAAAATAGTTGTTAATAATATTTATTAAAATATCACTCTAGTTGCGCCTTTCAAAAGGTAGTTTCATATACAGAAGAATGGGCAAGATACTCCATACTTACTTTCTTTAAAAATAGTTATTACAATATTTTGTATTCATTTTGACAATTATATGTGAACACCATGTACCTGTTATTCAAGTATTTCGACCAGAAATTGCAGGCCAAGTGAAATATGGCAGCACGGTCAGCGTTTCGTGTCCGCGAATATATTAGCTGAAATATTGGTACTGCACTTGTCTGCAGATGTAGTAACTTGGCAATAGGAACTATTTTTAGCTACAAATTCTGCGTAGTTTTGCGTACAGATAATGCGAATATATTTTAAAACTGTGGATAGTTTAGTTAACTTTTTGTAATGTAATTGATGGCAAACGGGCAAGAGGCTCATCTGATGTTAAGTGATACCGCCGCCCATGGACACTCACATTGCCAGAAGGCTCGCAAGTGCGTTGCCGAAAAACGTGGTAAACTTGTATAATTAGAACTAAAAGTCTTCTACGGGTCGCTTATCTGCTACTTGAATTCTCCAGTGAATAGGTTATCTGGATTACTTATTTACAGAAATTAATAAAAATATTTTTATTTATTGTATTGATATATTTACAACAAACAATTTTAAACTTACCGTAATTTTGTCTATCGCGCTCTTAATGAGGTTCAAGTTTCTGTTTAGTTTTGGTTTATTTTTTTCTCTTTGCTTGTATTTAATTTTTTCCTTGCTAGAGTTATGTAACCTTACATTTAGTTTTTACCATACTCATAAATTGTATTTTAACATTTTTGTTACCGATAATGTCCAATAACATAAGTGTAATTTAGATTTGTGAACCCTTAGCCAAGTTGTTGTTAGCGTCGCAACCCCACTACCCGCAATTTTATGTTTGTTATAAGCTCATTAAACTATTTAAGTCAGTTGTTACCCAGCTTCAAACACAGTGTTTAATTTGTTAGTGTTATAACTCACCTTTAAATCCGTCCGTTTCTAGTTTAGACGGGATTACCATTGGGATTGTAGAACAACATTTTTGGTAACAATATGTAGCTATTAAAACTTAATTAATTAGAGTATGTGGGCTCAGTACACAGAATGATTACAGGCCTCTCTGCGAGCGTCGGATGCGGACAAGCGATGCATGATGGATCGTATCAACAAATTGGAAGATGAATTAAGAATCCTAAGGGTGTCTAATGGGTAATTCTTTACACTATTATTGCAGATTCATATCTAATAAACTTTTCGGGGTTCTATATAATACTAGTCGTTATTGCTGTGAGTCGTAGAGTTGTAATCAATCAATCGAAATCATTTATTCATATTGGTAACTCAATGTACACGTATGCACGTCAATAAAGAAATATACATTAAATTCTTCTAATTTTACATTTAATGCCAGTTCTCAAATCAAGGGCGTAGAACGGAAGAAAAGAACTGGCAATAAACTCTCCGCCACTGTTTTTAATCGCCAAGTTGTTTGTTTTACACAATGTTTGTAAGGAGCTGCAACCATTACACCATGTTTAATCAACAGTTAATTAATAATAATAAAATAAATTAAAAACAAAGATTTGTCCTCTATCAGCAGGAGGCATGGAGAAATAGGAGCACGCACTTGCATTCTCGTGGGAAGAACACGCAAATACGTAGTCGAAATATTAGTTTGCCCTATCTTGAGACAAGATTTAATATTGATTCCCGACATAATACGGACCTAGGTGTGGATATCAGTGTCGTGTCCTACCCTTAAATAACTGAACCAAAAAAACTCATTCTTGTCTCGGAAAATAATACCCATAAACTCGTGAACCAGTTTTTTTTTAACATCTAAAGATTAAAAAACTGCAGTGATTTTGGTTAAATCAAAGGCAGTTTTAACATGTTCAAATAAAATTGCAGTTTGGAGGATAATAGAATGTCAAATGGTACTAGCGAAGACGAAAGTGAACGGATGCGGCTGCGCAGGGAAATTGCAGAACTGCGCAAATCGAAACAAAACTCCGATGACAACGTTCTCAAGTGAGTACCTAAAATTTATATGTAGTATAAATAATCTCGCCCTCATACACCAAATTAGCTATTTAGTGTTTTGTCCTGGTCACAATAAAAAGTGACAAAACGTGGATAAGGTTAGAAAGTAGCAGTCGTATATATATATATATTTATATTGTATATATACGACTATAATATATACGTAGTCGGTCCCAAAGTTCTGTCATAAATGGAAATAATGATAAAAACAAAAGTACTGATCAGTTTGTAATGAGTGATATATCAATTCTTAGTACATTAATTAAGGAATAAAAAAAGCATAAAAATATTCGAAATAACCTCCCTCATTTTTAATACAGGCCCTTAAGCGTCGCGGCCAGTCGTCTATCGCAGCACGCACCATATTCGTGTCGATTTCAGTCACTGGTTTTTTTAAAGATGACTTCAGATTCTCCAAATTTTCATGAGGTTTATCACAGACCTTCCTCTCTAAGCCCTGTCATAATTTCTGGTCCAAAGGATTAAGGTCCGGACTGGAGGAAGGCCAATCCTCATGTCTAATTAAGACGATGTTTTAACGCTCAAACCAGGCTTTAGTGGTCTTGGCTTTGTATGCAGACGCAGAGTCCTGCTGGAACACGAAGTGATGTCCCGCAAATAGGGTGCTGGACATGTCTTTGACAAGGCGATACAAAACCGTCTCTTGGTACACTGTAGCACTGGTTTTGACCCCCTTTTCGAAAAAATTAACCTCAGTTAGCCCGTAATAGGACACTCCCAACCAAACCATTACTGATGATGGATGATGTCCATGTTGCACCCTTGGAACTTTATTTTCAGCTTCTTCAGAACTCCTAGCGTACACTGTATAATTCTGTTTATTGTACTTCTCTTCAATATCGAAAAATTTTTCGTCCGTAAAGAGGATATCACGGTGTCGGTTTTTCGCGTACCGCTTAAACAACACCCGCGATCTCTTAAGCCTTATTGCTTTTAGACGAGCATTAAGTAAGTGCCCACTCTTTTTTATATGCTCGTAGACCAAGATCTTCATTTAAAACCTTTTTTACTGTTTTCCTACTGACACCCATCTGCAAATCCATCAACTTCTGTTTTCGGACAGGATTTCTTACTATCCGCGCCTTGATAGCTTTGATTACTGCTGGTGTTCTTGCGGAGCGTGGCCAGCCAGTTCTTTTCTTGTCCTCAACACTGGAGACTTCAAGGTACCTATCAATAGTACCGTACACAAACCTAAGCGTTTTATTCAAATTTTTGAGCAACTTGAAAATGGTACTCGGCGAGTGTCCACGGCGGTGCAACGCAATAACAACTATTCGGTTTACTTTCAATGTCCACTCCATCGTGAAAAATTACGGAAAGTTATTGTTTTTTGTTTTAAAACAATAATCAAACATTCCAAAATAGAATGCAATAATTTTTTTATAAAATCCTGCTCGAAATGTAGAAATAATGTGCTAGTGACAGAACTTTGGGACCAACTACGTATAACACAGTGGAGGTAAAACGAAAAATTCAATTCACTTTTATACCTAAGACATTAAATATTGGCGAATATTTATGAAAATACTTTCTGGTGTGGTTTCTCAGTTTCTTGAATATTTATAGATAAGTATGTAATCAGCCTTTGAGTTTTATGAGTCGTGTAAGCAAGTATAGTTTCTTAATAAGATCTTTATAGCAGTGTTGGCCTAGCGGCTTCAGCCTTCAGCGTGCGACCCTCATCCCTGAGGTCGTTGGTTCAATCCCATAACAGATGTTCGAACGGTGAAGGAAAACATCGTGAGGAAAGCGCTTACAACCAAAAAGTCGATGGCCTGTGCCAGGCACATTAGGTTGGTCACCTACTTGCCTATTGGATTGACAAATGATGATCATAAAACAGATACAGAACCACCCAGACCTCAAAAAGGGTTGTAGTGCCACTTGGTGTTAATAATAATTTACTTGATATTTTGTGAATGTTTCCGGATACAGAAAGCGTGATCAGCTTCGCCTTGAGTTTATGTCATAAAAGTTTTTGGTTAAATGCTTTTTTTATTAATTTGCTAGCTGAATTATAAATATTTTCATACCTAATTCTGGTTGGGATAAAAACTTTAATTAATTACGTATTTTTGTGTAGCGTAGCCAGTTGAATAATGAATATAATTTTCTCTATAACCAACACAGCTTGATATAAATAATCGCATGCTTTTTTATTTCTTTTGCACCGCACTTTACTGAGATATTTTTACTATATTTCAAGGCTAACCTCACTTCCAGACTAGAACGTCTTATCACACAGTTGCGGTCCAAATTCAACGGCATTATGTCGAACGGACCGGAATCTATCCCCAGCGATCACGATGAGATGCGCACTCGCCGTCTAAGCGCTAACTCAACTTTCATGTGCGGGCCAGTTACAGATTTGTAGCGAACGGAAATTGGGCACGCTGCCGTTAATATTGTCGCGGATTTTGTACAATCTGCCTATTATACTCTGTTGGCCAAGAAGTAACAATGTATAGAATAGATCGATAAGTTTGGACTTATTGGCTAAGAAGTGATTTGATCGTTGGATGATAGAATGTTTAATGTTGAAGGAATATTATCGCCTAGAAATTCAAGGGTAGACTGTATTAAGCTAAGAAGTAACAATGTATAGAATAGATCGATAAGTTTGGACCTGTTGGCTAAGAAGTAATTTGACCCTTGGATGATAGAATGTTTAATGTTGGATCATTATGGCCTAGAAGTTCTAGGATAGACTGTTTTAAGCCAAGAAATTAGATATAAGATTTGATTATATTTGAATGGCCTAGGATGATGGAACACCTGCTTAATAGATTTTAAATCCAAAAAAATCAATAGATTGAGATGTCGAATTGTGATCGCTTTTCGTTTTAAGATTAAAAGTGTTATTTAGGAATTGATAATATTTAGTTTTTATCACCTTTGGGAACGTGATTTATCAAATTTACGCTTTTGTTTGGATTACGTAAAGTAATTTTACTATTTTATTTAGTTTTTTTTTCAAAACAAAGTCTTTTTCATTTGATTTTGTGTGGCTTCACCATGTGATTTTCATCCCTGAGGAGGTCGTAGATTCGACTGTATTCTGTGAACCAATGGACTTTCTTTCTATGTGCGCATTTAACGTTCGCACGAACGGTTAAGGAAAACATCGTGAGGAAACCGGCTTGTGTTAGACCCAAAAAGTCGACGACGTGTACCAGGAGGCTGATCATCTACTTGCCTTGCCAGATACAGATACATAAATCTGAAGCCCAGACCTAAAAAGGTTGTAGCGACACTGAATTGTTTATTTATTTTTGTCTTGCGTTACTGAAGGGATTTGTGTAATTTTTTTCTGCATCTGTACGCAACTTAATTTATAGTTGTTGCGTAAATTTTAGCACCTTGTTCGTGTAATTTGTCAGCCTACTATGCTATTTGTTAAGACATTATGCGCATAGCTTAAGAGCTAGGTAAAAAAATTCCAAGTCCTATATAAAAAGTTTGTGTTAAATTTCTTAAAACCTTATCTAAATCGTTAAATTTTCTTATCTGTGCCTTTGCAGCGCGTTTAATTAAAATTACTCAAAATAGATCTTGCTATTTGCAAACGATGCCGTCCTTTTGTAATGCAATAACCGAACATTAAATTCATTTTCTCTCATTTTCTTTAACGGTATTTTTAAATTTTTAATTATCACTATAAAACAGTCCGCCCGTTCTTTAGCATGGTCATACTAAACCAGATTACATCACATACGGTGACCATGCGTTTTAATAAAAAATTGTTTCAAATACTACTAAAGTTGAATAATTTCCATGACAAGCTTTCCAACTCTAAAGCTATAGTTAATATCAACGCCGCACGGTGTGTTGATATTTGCAATTTTCAAGCAATTGCCTTTGACACCTTGTCCTATGTTTGCAATGCCGCGATGACCTTTGTCAATGTTTTCTTAAGGTCCATGTTTCATTATCCATAGTTACTTTAAGATCGTATCGGATCAGTGGTTACTATGATGGCAATTTTTTGTACAAAGATTTTCTCAGGCATCTGTGTGAAGTGTGAACGTATCTAGCAGAAAGAGCGTCTCTCGAAACTGTATAATGTCAAAGTATAATACACACTCCTTCAGTTATCATAGAGAGATCAACCTTATTAGTCAAATGCTAATAATTTAATTATTATAAATATATTCCTAAAAGTTCGACAAGGAAATCAGCGGCTCGCTAAAACCTACTTAATTCATAAGTTTTTCTGTTCGCGTTCCCAAAGTGATAATTGATTGATTGCTTTACACTTACCTACGTCATACTAGTTAGTACGTATATAAATACGGTCTGTCATGTGATAGTTATACAATATGTGAGAAATTTCTTATCTTCGAGGACTTCAATTATTTTTGTATGTAGAAAATTTAAGACGATTTGCGTGTAAAGGAACGTTGGACCGTGAAACTAGGAATCGATTAAAATTATCAACTTTTATCCCTTTTAGTTTATGTTTTACATGTGTTGGTGATATTCATATGTCAAAAATGTATTTGACATATGAGAATCATACATATCGCTGAGTCAATTACATGCAGACTTAGAGTATTTTATGAGTATATGAGATACACTGAAAAATGTTTGATCGAACCGATTCTTATAAACGTATTACACTATTTATTCATATATTTATTTGGCATAAATACGTGTTCGTTAGTGAAGTTCAAAAAAAACCATACAAAAATGTATTGTAATAGTATTTGTCTATTACGTTCCATTCTACGCTAAGGGTACATGTCTCTATCATTGTAAATTTAAAACAGTATAAAACTTACCCCCTTATTGTAATAAATCAATATAATTTAACTTGTACGCTGTCTCTTTCCGTCACAGCGTGAACTAAATTTGACGAAAAGAGACGATAGATAAATAAAAAGTGTATGAATATAAAGCTGAGGCTCAAATAATAGCGGAATGTGCTCTCTAGAACGTGGATACCCAAGACGTTGCTATGGTTACCATGCTTTTAAGTTAAAGATTGTAACCATGGTAACATACTACGTTTTATAATAAGAGCTAATGTTGTTAATTGGTAAAATATGTATATACAATAATGTAACAATAGAAAGTTAATATTATTTCTGTATTTTTGGACAGAGCCATAGCTTTGATATAACCAGGTTTTGTGGCTACAAATATATATGCTGTGGAACATTTCTTTAATCTATGTTGACTCGTATATCATAATTATCATGTATAATTACTAATTGTATTATAAATGAAGCAATATACTCGTTCCTAAATAATCATGCATAGGCTAAGAAATCTAATGTAGATACGAAACATTTTAAACTTATATCATCGCGTTGGAGAACGGCGCATTAAAACTAAATCAGTATCAACAAAAGTTACTTTTTCTGTCAAATTCTTTATTTTGATGAAAGAATTAGTGCTGGAGATAAAACAGTAATCGGACTGATTTAGTTTTGAATTGACGCTAGTAATATTTCTGCGCATCTCTTGCCGAACAGTTACTTCAAAACTGTCCATTATGTTAAAGGAACAGATTTAGTTTTGAGTTGACGCTAGTAATATTTCTGCGCATCTCTTGCCGAACAGTTACTTCAAAACTGTCCATTATGTTAAAGGAACAGATTTAGTTTTGAGTTGACGCTAGTAATATTTCTGCGCATCTCTTGCCGAACAGTTACTTCAAAACTGTCCATTATGTTAAAGGAACAGATTTAGTTTTGAGTTGACGCTAGTAATATTTCTGCGCATCTCTTGCCGAACAGTTACTTCAAAACTGTCCATTATGTTAAAGGAACAGATTTAGTTTTGAGTTGACGCTAGTAATATTTCTGCGCATCTCTTGCCGAACAGTTACTTCAAAACTGTCCATTATGTTAAAGGAACAGATTTAGTTTTGAGTTGACGCTAGTAATATTTCTGCGCATCTCTTGCCGAACAGTTACTTCAAAACTGTCCATTATGTTAAAGGAACAGATTTAGTTTTGAGTTGACGCTAGTAATATTTCTGCGCATCTCTTGCCGAACAGTGAACGATTACTTCGAAACTGTCCCTTGTGTTAAAAGAACAGAATTAGTTTTGAGTTGACGCTAGTAATATTTCTGCGCATCTCTTGCCGAACAGTTACTTCAAAACTGTCCATTATGTTAAAGGAACAGATTTAGTTTTGAGTTGACGCTAGTAATATTTCTGCGCATCTCTTGCCGAACAGTTACTTCAAAACTGTCCATTATGTTAAAGGAACAGATTTAGTTTTGAGTTGACGCTAGTAATATTTCTGCGCATCTCTTGCCGAACAGTTACTTCAAAACTGTCCATTATGTTAAAGGAACAGATTTAGTTTTGAGTTGACGCTAGTAATATTTCTGCGCATCTCTTGCCGAACAGTTACTTCAAAACTGTCCATTATGTTAAAGGAACAGATTTAGTTTTGAGTTGACGCTAGTAATATTTCTGCGCATCTCTTGCCGAACAGTTACTTCAAAACTGTCCATTATGTTAAAGGAACAGATTTAGTTTTGAGTTGACGCTAGTAATATTTCTGCGCATCTCTTGCCGAACAGTTACTTCAAAACTGTCCATTATGTTAAAGGAACAGATTTAGTTTTGAGTTGACGCTAGTAATATTTCTGCGCATCTCTTGCCGAACAGTGAACGATTACTTCGAAACTGTCCCTTGTGTTAAAAGAACAGAATTAGTTTTAACGTGATGCTAATCAAATAACTCTTTCGCATCTCAAAATACAGTGCCACCAACTTTGAAAGACATCGGAACTGTCGCGTCAGCGTTGCCAATTATTATTATTGAGGAAAGTGAGATATCATGTAGATATAAACTTGTCATTTGCCTAAAGATTTATATTATAGATAACAAAGAAAAAGTGACATTTGACAATTCACAAAAAGGTATGTCAATGTCAACAGTTTTCGAATTGAAGTGGCGCCTGTTTTCGCTTCACAAGTTGGAGGTACTGTAACCTATTTATACTAACCACCGAAAAGATATTCATAATAGATATAAGTGACATACCAAATGTAGTAATAGTTATGTAAAAAACACGAATTATCAAATTTATAATGCTCAAATTAGGTACTTATTTTGCACAACTTAGCATTACGATGTAAACGCTTATTGTGCGTATCGAAATGCAATTAATTTCAAATTTATATTCATTGTTGTCTTGTCATTGTCACACTAGACTTATTTTTAAAGGACCATCGACAATGGCTGAAAAAATTACAACAAAGAAGTATTTTCTTTATATGTTTAATCTACTGTATTAGTTTCTAAAACACTTAACTTATGCAATTGATACAACAGCGAATATAAATTTGGTAGTCTGTTGAATTTTTTGACAATTCGTGTTTAGCTTTTTCACATAGGTAGAGAATAGACG